CGTTATTTCTATTTACTTAAAGTTCTTTTGATTATGTTTGTTATTGATGAGTACTAATTCATATTAAAAAATATCAAAATCATATCAAAATCATTCCCAAAATCACTCAAAATCAATATTTCAAAGTTGTACGATATTATCAATTTTGTTTGATTGATATTAATCTGATATGATTATTAATTCATACTCAGATATTCATTATCTGAAATCAGATTATCAAAATATTCATTATAGTTTATATAATTTACGAATAACCTCAATTATCATGGCTTTGAAATGTAAAATGGGGTTCGCCGACACTATAGCATGAGCGCTATTATTTACCAGCTATAGTAGGGCCACCGACGATTTTTATAATGATCCCAATCCAATTCAGCATCGTGAGCCACATTAAGTAGGACCAACATTACTTCGATTTGATTAGGTATGGTTGGTTATTCTTTAAGACATTTCAGACATGGTCGAAAAGACAATCCACATCATCTAGCGTGGTCGAGTCGTGGCATACTTTTCGAAGTCGACATGCGTGGCACACCCCTAAACGAAGCTTGGCTATGGATCATCATCAAGCGGCTATGGCTTCAACGAACGGAGTGGGGAGATATGCATGTTCGACGAGTACTCAATTCGTCCCGGGCCTGAGTGATATGCGAGGAAGTGGGCAACGCTGTTTGTTAGAAATTGAAATTGGGAGAGGGTTATGAATATTCATGCTCAGCTTGTACGCCATGAGATACTTGGGCGATTTGGTTACCATAGCTCGATCGCCTCGTTGTCGATTCTGACAATGAACATTTCCATTGGGCAAGTGCCTTCAGACTGTAACGATATATGAAGTATTCTTTCCTCTTGATTTTTCTCCATCTTTGTTCTGATTTCGATTTTGATTTCGATTTCGATTTTTGCTTTTATCCTCATTATTTACTACTACTTTCTTATCCCTTTACTACATTTAATCACGTTCATCATGAAGATGATCGAAATTAAAACGTCTGCCCCTCTAGTCTCACTACCTCGCAGGTCGAAGGGTGTGAAAGTAGACAGGAACGGCGTCACATGCTACGATGAAGAAATCACCCAAATCGTTGACTACATATACGATTACGAGATTGATTCTCCTCAAGCATGGACTCGTGCAACTGCAGCTTTGCTTGATGCCATAGGAGCTGGTATCGAAAGCATCACCACAAGTTCCGAACTCTCACAATTAGTGGGACCTACTTTCCCTTCGCCAGATACCATCCCCAATGGTTTCAAGCTACCAGGAACAAATTACCAACTTGATATGGTGAAGGGGGCGTTTGATATGGGAGCTATGATTAGATATCTCAACCACAACGATGCATTTTTAGGTGCCGAATGGACTCATCCATCCGGTACGCTTACCGAACTCTTTCTTCACATACCGAGCGATCTGCTAACACCCCATCTCTCATTTAGATAACCTTGGAGCCATCCTCTCCACAGCCGACGTGCTCACGCGCGTAGCTACCTCCAAAAACGACCCAGACTCCATCCTCACCATGCGCCACGTTCTCATCGCCCTCATCAAAGCCTACGAAATCCAAGGCTGTTTCCAAGGACAAAACGCCTTCAACAAAGCCGGTCTCGACGACGTTATCCTCGTAAAAGTCGCCTCCACCGCCGTCATATCCTGGCTCATGCGCCTCCCCAAAGAACAAGCCAAAGCCGCCGTCTCACACGCCTGGATCGATGGTAACCCTCTGCGTGCATATCGTCAAGCACCCAATGTTGGCCCGAGGAAAAACTGGGCCTCAGGTGACGCGTGCATGAGGGCTGTGCAGCTGGCGCTTATAGCGAAGACGGGACAACCGGGAGTGAAAACTGCATTGAGTGCTCCTCGAGCGGGTTTCTATGATGTTCTCTTCAGGGGTGATACGTTTGATCTCCCGCGACCATTGGGAACTTCCGTTATCGAAAATGTGTTTTTCAAAGTCTATACCACGGAAAGCCACGGCATGACGGCGCTCGAAGCCGCATTATCCATCTGCAAAGATATGAACGAAAAGAAATTGTCCATGAGCGATATCAAGAGTATCCAAGTGCGCACTCAGGAAGCCGCAATGGTTATCATGAATAAACAAGGCGCGCTCCGATTACCCTCGGATCGCGATCATAGTCTAGGCTACATGATTGCCATGACACTTCTCAAAGGCTCTTTACCCTCAGCCGAAGATTGTTCCAACTCTAGTTCCTGGACTCAAGATCCGCGTGTCGAGGAACTGAGAGATAAAATCTCCATCCGAGAAGATGCAGAATTCACCCAAGGATACCATAATCAAAACCTGCGCAGTCTCGCCAACGCAATCAAAGTAACCATGAACGACGAAACGGCATTGGAAGAAGTAGTAATTCATTTCCCGCAAGGCCATGCGAGGAGAAACGAAAGTTTAGCATTGGTAGAGAAAAAAGCGAGGAGGAATTTAGGGTTGAAGTTGAGTGCGGAGAGGATCGAGTTGATTTTGGAAAAGTCGAAGAGTATGGAGTTTTTTGGCATGTCCGTGTGTGAGTTTGTGGATTTGTTTGTGCCGGATGGGGAATGAGGGGTTGATGGTGGGGGGGGGGGGGGGGTGGCGGATGTTTGGTTTATGGATAGGTTGGTTGGGTTGGCGAGATGGCAATAATGGTATTCGGTTTTGGGTTTTGGGTTTTGGGTTTTGGGTTTTGGGTAGGGGCGATATGGTAAGTTACATGTATGCAGATTATGTATTTCAGACGGTATTGTGAAGCAAGGTTTGCAATGACCCTGATTGAACGCAATAGAGTACTGGAGCTTTTGATACAGAACCAATCTTTTATATTTCTTTTAATTGGAACATTGAATGGAGTTGAGAATATTAAGGCTCAAGTTGAAAGTTCTCCGAACGTCAATTGCTTTCACATCGTGGAATCTCTGGACTGCTACTCCGGATTATTGGATACCTTCCCAGTAAATTAGTAATTGATTGGAACTTATTTTCTCGTCTGATATCGCGGATGTGCATTATCGGTGGCCAGCAGAAATCGGCCTACCACAAAATATCATCATCCCAAAACAACGTAAAACATGATCAAAGTCCTACCATCGATCTTTCCCCGCATCTCATATAGGAGAAACGGGGCTTCAAGACCTCGGCAACGGATCTCTCGAGTAAGGCGGCGCATGCGAGCGATGATGTCTCAGCAAACCCGGAGCTCTTGCATGCGGACTCGCACTTCTACTTTGACTCCGACTCCGACTCGCACTCCTCACTCTCCTCCCCGTCAATCCTCCTTTCAAAAACATCCTTGTAATACCCCCACTCATACCCGCTACAATCATTGTGAAAGCCCACGTCATCCACTGCAACGCCATCATCACTTTTCCTTGATCTACCTCCATTCCTGTACGGATAGCGCAGCGCCAGCTGATGAAAGTGTGTAGGCTGCGGCGAAAGCAAATGCGGTCGAGGCCCAGAAGAGAAAGGTTATTGAGACGAGGTGGAAACGAGTGGTCGTTCCGTTGCGTTTGGTGATGCTGCGGGCGGTGATGAGTGAGAGGAGGGCGAAGAGGAAGAGCAAGGCCGAGAGGGCGGGGATGATGAAAGAGATGGCTGTTTGGAGGTTGAGGGCGTGTTGGAGAGTTTGTGGGGGGCTTGTCAGGTTGTATGCTTCGGTTAGGCCAGCACAATCATCAAGGTATCATGAAAATTGTTACTGCCCAATATGGAGCAGAAGCAGGCCAGCAGATGATGAAAGCTTTGAGCTTACATGTATGGTAGTGTAATAAAGATAGGTATTGGGATAGTTTGCTAGCGGAATCAAAATCTATTTCAATCAATGGCGAATATGAAGAAAGGAAACTTTTCTCGCCAGATGAGGCCGGCTTTGGGTCGCATGTGGATATTTTCCACTGAATTCTTTAAGAAGACTTTTCAAAAGGCCAACGACTTCAAGAGGCAAAGCGAGCAAAAGTCTTATCTGCATTGTCTCATAATAAACAGAGAAACTGAAAAGAAGAGAATGAATGAATGAATGAACCATGCTAGTAGATGAAAATTCTCGATTGTCCGAGAACCATTAAGCACATTCGAGGAGCATTTGCGTTTGAGAAACAAGACTACCCAGTGCTTTATTTTAAGAAATTGGCCATAGATCGCGGCCGATGAAGCAAAATATCTAATACTCCAATGGCAGATTACTTGAATTAAAGCATATTCCCTCAAAACTTTGAGGTGAATTGGTCAATGACACATGCACTCGCATGTACGAGTATAAATTTCTCCTTGTGCTAGAGAAATAGTAGAGAGTAACTTACGTTACAGGACAGCAACAGAGTACGATCGACTAGAACTATAAATGATACATGCGTTTGACTTTGACCTGATTAAAATCTGCTCCTTGTCTAGAACTTCAATTCGCTTTTTGCCCTAAAACATATTCGATTGGCTTCATGACTTAAGCTAGACATTTGTTGGAACTCCTTGCGCGCTCTTTAGAACGGCTGTGCCGAATGAAATTCTAGATATGGGTTTCTCTGTCCACTAGGCCAGTTTCACATGTTTATCGTTCCATTGAAACCAGATGAATAGTCCTAGACTTTAACACTTCCCCGACCCCGCGCTTTGGATACCCCAGATCTTGCCTTCTTGGTATAGTGTCAAGCAATACTGAATATCGAACATGGCTCTTTCGATTCATCATTCTTGGGACAATGATTTTCGTTGTCAGCTTTCCCCCAGCGCGGTGATGATATCGTGGACAGAAAGTTGCTCAGTTGGTTTGCCGCCACCTCTTCCTTATCTCTGCCATACCGTTATATCACGGTTGCTATCCTGATCATCGATTTGGGCTCTAGGATACGATGCTCCGCGAATAATGAAATGCCATGGTTTCGAGGGTCGGCGTAATTGCTGCTTTGGATCTTTGTTTGCTGGAGTAGATTCTGGTTGACAAGTGCAATGATTTGAAACCGGATCGGAGAAATGCTTTCCTGCTATCTGCTCCTTTTTTAATTCTGTCTCTTCATTACACACAATTATTACACCGCACAAATATGATATCCGCCCAGGAACATAGTGATTAGTGATGTAAAAAGCGATACTTTACAGAAAAGAGAGCTTTAACAACAAATGTGCTCTACCTTTGTATTGCTAGCGGAAAGGTTGGTAGCAAATAGAAAGACGGGGGACTAATTGATGAAAACATTTATACTTGGAAAGAAGAGCATGTCCGAGTGGATGTGTTCTCCTGGAAAGAGCAAGTCTTCTAGTAGGGATTCTAATCGATCATTTGGGGAACAAAGCGCCTATAAATTGGGCATGGGAATGGTGGTCGCCGTTCGCGTTGGTGAAAGCTTTCAGTCGCATGCAATAGAGCAACAGAAGAATGCTGAGAACTACTACAGTTTCTTCATCAGAATCGACCCCCAGAAGAGGTAAAACGTTTCCGAGTGGAGATATGTTAATAAAACTCTTATTAAGGGGATGTAAATATACATGTAACAGATAACCCAGTATGTAGTAGTAGTAGTAGTAGTAGTAGTAGTATTTATTTACATCAGGAGGGCAGCTTAGGGCTGCCCTCAGAACCTCCCTAGGGGTATGCTGATGTTTTAAGCTATAGTCTTACGATACATGAGATGTGAATGTCTTAGAAAGAAAAGTGAAAGCCTTACAGCTATTCCCAGTAATTATGTGTTATTTTCCAATTTGTCTATTCCTTCTTTCACTGGTTGAAATAGTCCTGCTGTTTTGCTTAGTATAAGCAATTGTATCTATATTGTAGATTTGCTATTACATAAACTAGACAATTCGGTAAACTACTTTTAGGTATAATGATTAGGATGTTTGTTATACTCCTAGAAATGTTCTTAAATATACTTTCATATACTTTGTTAATGTTTTACCAGGATTCTTAAATCCTAACAATATTTTTGTTTCTCTGTATATACTCTACAAAGAGAGTTTTTACAACTTCATTTATAGTATACATTATGAATCAATTCTGGTAGTAGATATATATTGTCACAGGTTTTGAGTTTTTGGGTACAGATTGCGGGTTTGTAACCCTTTACCTCGGGCATATGTTTTCATAGAACTTTGTTAATTTTAGAAGTTTAACAAAGTCTATAGGATTATTTAAGACTTGGTGCAGATAATGAATTCCTTCTGTATTTGTTGTTAATAGTGTAAAGGGCTTGTTTGACCATTGTTCGAAAGTGTCCCTTGCCTTCCGGCAGTGTACCAGGTGAACAAGGGTTTTGGGTCTTCTATATAAGCATTTTGTAACCTTTATATATTTGAATTTCCTGTGATATTATCCAAAGTCCCTATGTGAGGTTCGGATAGCTACCAGTCTTTGTAAGACTACTTGTGGGAACAGGAGTTCTGATGGTGATTTGACTTTATAAGTCAGGTTCCATTGTTTATACTATATTGAAAGAACTGGTTCACAGAAGGTTTACTATTATTGGCGGGTGTCTTTTCTGAGATTATATGTAATCGATTGTATTCCACTGTAAATAAACTGCGAAGCTGGTCTGGTGTTCTATTGGGCTTTTTTAATACCAAGCTTTGCGAGGTGGTTAACTGTCTTGTTTCCCTCGATATTTTCATGTTCCGGTGACCATTTGATATAAATGTTGTGCTCCTTTATAGCTTTGTAACAGTTGTTGAATATTTATTGTGAAGATATAGAAGTGTTGGTGTATATACACTAGATGACTGAGGTGTTGTCGATATATATCCAGATTTTCTGGTTTGTGTACCTGATGTCCTTGAGGATGTGTTCCAGGCCTGTCTATGCTTCAATAGCCTTTATATCGAAGATATGGGATTGGATGTTGATAGATCCAAAATCTGCCAATATCTGATTTTTGCTTAAATATGTTATATATCCATAATCTATTATATACTTTCTCTTTACATAGTTTTCTGATCTATTTGAGAAAATAGTGATATCCGTTTCCGACAGATTGTTTTATTAGATTTCGAAGGCTTTTACTGCCGTTTTCTTATCGATTCTTTTTGTTAGATTTATTCAACAGCTAGATATATACCTTGATAACTTAAGTGTAAATCTTGGGATTGGGGGTACAAGGAGACCAAATCTTTAGATTTTGGTCTTTACTTTTTGTCTTGTCTTGTATTTATCCTTTATTCTTTGATAATTATAGAAGATTTGATTCTTTTCGTAAGCGGGTAGATCTCATTTATACTTTGTAGATATAAGACAAACTTTAGTTTAACCTTCTCGAAAACCACCATAACTAAAAGGAATCCTACTTCGCAATAGAGGGTTATCACCGGTATAGTTTTCCAAACCGAAATGACTCCTTGTATTACTATTATAAAAACTCTTTCGATTTGAATCACATACCAGCCTAAGCAGACATTGGACTGTGTTAATCTATATTTGAGTTTTCGTATAACCTTGAATCTTCCTTTGTACTAGGTCTCCATTCCATATAGAAGTAAGGGTAATACATATATTGTTATTACCTTACATATCAAATATACTAGAAAGTCTTGCACAACCTTAGCTAAATCTTGTATATACTTTACTATTGTCTTGGCTTTACTTATACATTCTATAACATATCTTCGAAAATTCATTTTTCAATCGAACCACATTCCCAGCTATCTCAGTACTAGACAGATATTTGTTTCTATAGCTATTATCAAGTAAATCGTGAGTTCCTTATTTATTCTGATAATAAATGCTGTATTATCATTTCTTGCAATGATATAGATTATTTCCAACTTCTCTGGGGTAAAAGCAATACAATTGTTCGATCCTTATTCTATAATGTTTTGAATATCTTTAGTAAGGAATCTGATGTTTTTGTCTAGGGTTCTGAATATTCTGTATAGATATATATCATCTGTATACCCGAATCTAAGAATAGTATCCTTTGTTATTAATTCGGCTAGATATAATATATAAAGAACTAGAGAGAAAGGAAAGCTTTATAAGGTTTCACAAGTTATTAAGTACTTCTTGATTATAACTTGTTCAAGTCTAACTCTGACTTTCCTTTTCGTTAAAAAGGAGTCGATTAGAAGAAAAAGGTTTTTGGGCCAGTTTTGTTCCATTATCTTAACTAGGAGTTGTCTTTTGAACAATATATTGAATACTCCTTATATATCCATAATAACCATGGTTACCTTTTTTCCTGTTAACAATACTATTTCCATATTATATATAAAGAATACCACCTGATCCATTACAAAGCGTTTGGATAGAGCTTCTTTATATTGAGAACTGATAATGCTATGTTTTAGAACTGTTCAGTTTATTTATTTAACGACTATTCTTTCTAGGCCTTTTCCTATACAGAAGAGTAGAGTGATGTGTCTTTATGACCTTACAGATATTATATCTCTTTTGCCAGTTTTGGGTATCATAACTATTTCGGCCAATTTTCAAGTTTTTGGGAAATGACTATATTTGAGACACTTCTGGAAAAACCGTTTTAATAGGTTTTTGAGATAGTTCTAGCAGGTTTTTAAGAGTCTGACTGTAACTCAATCAATCCCTGGTAATATATTGGATATTCTAATAACACTTATTTCGATTTCTTTTATTATAAACCGAGAGTTCCAGGGTAGATATCCATTTCCTTCCCATTAGTTTCCTAATGGATCGTATTCTAGATCATTCTTTGCACTTAACCAGTTCAGGATTTCTGTTCTGAATAGTTCAGCTTTTTCTATCGAGTTCTTTATCACCACTTTATTAGAGATGATTAAAAAGCTTTTGAAACTCGGAACCAGTTTATGCTAATTTACTATCTTGTATAAGTCTTTGTTATTGGAGATGTTATTTATGATATGCCTCCAATAATCGCGTTTAGCTGTTTTAATCGTTGTTTTGAATTCTTTTGTTATTATGGTAAGAGATTGCTTTGGTATAGCTTGTCTATGCAAATGTTCGGTGTAGGTCCTTTTATATTCTGATATCTATTAGAGTGTTACTTTGCCTTTTCTTTTGTCCTTGGTTTCTACCGCTTCGATTGTTTATATGATTACTTGAATAAATTGTTCTGCGAAATGGTCTATCTTTTGTGGAAAGTCAAAAAGATTGTTTAAAGATATATAATATATATCACTCTATTAGCTATTAATCCTGTCAGTTTCGGTAATTCCGTTTCTGGGATATGGATATTGTGCTGGTCGAGGGGTTTGAGTCCTTTGCTTGGTATAGTTGTTACTAGGGTAAAGTGATCCGAACTATTGTATAGGTTGTGTCGTATTTTGGTTTTTGCAAACGGTATATTGGAGAAGGTAAGATCGAGTACATTTCCTCCCGAGTGGATAGGTGCTTCTTGTTCTCCAATGTAGTCTAATTCAACTAGTTTAGCCTAGACTGCTAGCTCACATCCTCTATAAAGGTTTTCCGATCTAAATTGCCATGTTTCGTGTATAGTGTTGAAATCGCCTCCGATAAGGTAGCCTGAAGATGGTTATAGTTTAGTAATGTAGGTTAACACTTGTTCTATCCGCGGTTATCAATATATATTCAGTATGGGGTACCTATTCATATCTATTTAGAGTATATCCTGGCTTTTGATTGGTTGTCTTTGTTGAGTTTGCAGTTTTGTATCTTTTCTGATATATATCAATACTCGGAGTTTTTCTATTTCTCTTTGTTCGGAGAATATTCCTATCTATAAGTCAACTAATACATATAAGATCCATCTGGGGTATGTTTTGGTTTTTGTAAACAGGAATGTAAAGGGTTCCTGTATATATAGGATATCTGATTTGTTTTCAAATACTATTTGTAATAAGGTGTTGTAAACCTCTGGTATTTTGCCTATATTCGTTTAATAGATTGTTAGATCCTGTATTCTGGATTATTGATAATTATGTATATCACCCTAATACATTAGATATCTACTTATATGTATCCGGTTATAAGGTTCCTTTTATTTCGGTGTTTTGCTAGCTATTAATAAAGGTTTCCTCATTAAGGTTTGTATTTATAAAAGGTTTCCGTTTTGGTTGACTTACTACCGTTGTGTTTCTTTTGAGTCTATTTGCCAAAGCGATTTCGGTTGTTTTCGTTATTTCGGATACGTTTATTTGTCTTTTCAGGTGTTTTAGTGCTGGGTGGGGTTGGATTTGGATTGCAAGTAAAATTGGGGTGGTTCCTTCTTTTGGGATCTCGTTTGCTTTCTGGCTGGAGAGTATCACCACTTCTATTGCCAGGGCCAACTTTCGGATAGCTTTGAGTTGGGACCCAATGAATACTATAATTTGGTCTTCTACCACCTTTGATACCGTTAAGCAATTCTAGTGTCCTATTGCAAAAAGTCCAAAACAATTGGTATATCTTGCTTTCGCTATGCAATTGGGCTTTTGTGGACCTTCGTGTATATCCTTTCGGATACCGCAATTAGCACAACAGATGAATCTAGTGTATCTCGCTGAATTGTATCAACCTTAGCAGCCAATGTTGTACCGAGTTATAATAGATTTCGCCTTGATCTTTTGTACCAGTTCGCTAGCATTAAAGAGCCTGAAACCACAGACTGGTTCAAGGAAGGATATTATCTATATAATAGTATTATTATAGGAGTTGACTCTATATCTTGAAGATTTACAACTGACTGGGGATTGGCTTGTCTATACCTATACCTCCACTTCCATATGATTCGCTGTATCAACTAGAAGTCCAGCTATCATACAAATCGATGCTGGGACTCCAGAGACTACATAGTTGTATCATGTTATCGATTGATACACTTGTATACTTTAACTAATCCTAAAGATAATTTCCTTATTCTTCTATGAAAAAAGTAGTTCTTGTATTACTAGGTTTTTCAGTATAATAGCTTATTCTGTCTTGATAACAGAGATAATAGGGATATCAACTAGTAATAGATTTATAATTATATCAACAAAAGCACTTCTTAGCACAAACGAGACTAGGCAATTGAGCCGAACTGTAAGGCTAATAGCTATTAAAAACCTATGATCTATGTTCTGGACAGTTCGTATTATTCGATGTTTGGATTATACATTGATAGATAAAACCTTTGATAGAGCTTCTTGAGATATAGATAGGTTTGCTTGGCCTGCCTTATTTTAGCTTACTTTGAAGGTTTTGAGGATCCCCGTGTATATTTTGGTAGTTTGTGTTTTCGTTGAAATTACGCTTCTTGTTATTAACAATGTGAAATTTGGGCTTAACAATGAATTAGGTCTATTGTTGATAATGAGTATAAGGATTTCTATAACTCTAATGCTCAGTTTCCTAACTGCAGTTTGTTCATTTCCCGTGACAAAGAAATCGATATATCTATCGATTGCATTTACTAGGCCGATTATAACCTTTCGCTGAATTCTTTCAGCGTATTCGTGTTCAGCGAGTTTGGCCTTAAAGGCCTCTATCACTGAATTGTTTGTATTGTTAATTGCTTTGCTTCCCAGTTTGAAGACTGGTGGCATTTCGTTAGTGAAGGTGCGCTGTCTTCTTTTCAAGCGGTTTCATAGGTTTAAGGGGGTCTCTAGATCCTGTGGATTGGTATAATCAGCGTTTTCCAGGTCGATGACCTCTGGCGGCACCGTTTTGGGTACTATGATAGCTCGTAGAGAGCAGTGTATATTGTTAATAATGTTTTTGGACTTTGTAAAGTTAATTTCAGACCGAAATTCAACTTCTGGCGATCAGAAATTGTTTTTCGGAATATTGTGTTTGGGTGATAACCCAGTATGTGAGCTTACAGAGGAACCCTCTCCGACCAGCTAGCTCATTTTTCTTCTCAAAAATCTACTTCTTAACCCTCAACGAGGCACACGAGAAGTAGTCCAGAAACATGAAGCCGAACGAATTCGAAGGAAAGATAAAGGAGGACTGTTCCAAAGTAAACAGTGTTCGAGACAACCTCGAATAGATTATTTGATTTGATTATGGACAAATCCGCGTCAGGACTTGCATTGGTGAGTGTCAAGAGGAGAGCGGGCTGAATAAAGCAGTAAAATCACACTTCACCACCTCTCATATATTGGTAATTTAGAGTGCTTACATGTAGTCGGAATCGCAAAAGTACGTTTCATTCATACACTACATACACTCGAAAAAGATACAAAATTCCAAGACCAAACGACCCCGACTCATTCCGTAGGCTTCGTTTCTCTCGTAATCTTCTTTCTCGGTTTCCTGGTATTTTTCTTCACCCCTTCACCCTGCAGCTTCAAAGGATCATTATGGGCACTCTTCCCCTTCATTTTCGGCTTCCCCTTTGACTTTGCCTTCCCCTTCTGCTTTCCCTTCTCCTTAGCAGACGCAGGCATCGCCATCCTCTCACTCAATTTCTCCCTCCCCGGAACCCAATAATCATTCTCCGTAACACTCAACGCAGCATTCGGTTTTCTGCCCTGCTCCAAATCAATCTCTTCTCGAATTTGCTTGATTCCCTTCTCCGGATCCTGTGTAAAGTTTAACGCATCCAACATACTCTGTTTCGAATCCAGGTGATCTATTTCTCCAACTACAAATTCTGTGGCTCCAATTGCGTCGACTTGTTTCCATTTTTGTACGATGAAGCGACAGTTGGATGGGAGAGTAATGCGCATGGGGTTGCGGTACCAGCGGGGAAAATATATAAATCCAACCATGATACGATTTTGATCAGAAAGATTCGGCATGCCGGAGTGCCAGAGACGAAGGTCGCGGATGGCAATTGATCCCTTGGGAATGGTTGGTTGGAAGGGAGGAGAGTATTCGGCACGACGATTGAATTTGGATGCTTTGATCCAGCCTCGACCATGGCTAGCTAGATCCTTGAAATTCCAATCATGATGGGAACCAGGCCAGATTTCCGTGGAGCCATTCGCGGGAGATACATCGTGGAGGTACATGAAACTTTCGATGCAGGTGGGGAAATTATGATGATCGGCGTACGAATCAACATGAACTGCTTGGCGAGAAGTCGAGTCTTGCGTTGGTAGATTGATATTGCTACCTGCATATACGAGCTGTGGTATCCCAATAATAGCTTCCATGACGGCTGCCGCATGTTTGTTGGCCCATACATCTTCGACAAGCCACTCCTTGGATAGAGGAGGAGATATGGAGAAATTGGTTTTTTCGTTGCCATGGTTGAAAGCCAGATTCGGATCTTCCAACTTTTTGGCTCCATCGGCATTCATCTTCTCGTGGAATTTATCGATGATATCGTGAGGAATGGCGTTCTCAAAAACGACGATTCCATTCTTGTGGAATTCTTCCACTCCAGCTTGTACATTCTCCAATGAGGTAACTCCAGATTTAAGCTCCTCATCGGATATGATGACATGTTTGCATTGAGCCTGCTTTGGAGGCATATTAAAACCTTGGAAGTTTTTGTGTACTTATAGAGTACAGTGTAAGTAATTAGAATAATAGAAATCAATCTTGCTTTAGGCTCTTCGTTGAAGAAGTTTGTATATATAATATGGAGGGTTGAGCATCAAACAAGAAACCCAAGTCTTCAAAGAACTCACATAGCAACAAGTTACTTGGGTCTTTGCAGCTCGTTGACTGAGACAATAAAGGTTGGAAGCAAAACAACAAAGAAAATCAAGACTAATGAGCACAGGAAAGTCTGATTTTGAATCAGTTCAAAAAGAAGACAAAGACAGAGACAACGAAAGGTTATTAAATTCAAGACTTTTCGACTCCCTTATCTGCGAATGAGGTTGTTGTTAGAAACATTTGTCTTGGGAAAGTCAAACCAACTACCAAAGAGTGTGGGAATGATTTAAAAAAAGAAATTTATCTTAGATTTTGTTTTTGAATGAATATCAAGCCTGTCTTTTGTTGATGGTAATTAAGAATAAGACATCCATCTACCTACTGAGCCTTGTCATAATTTAAACATTATGAATCAAACCATCTTTTAGTTGTTGTAAGCTGATAACTTTATTCATCCAATTTCTCAGTGACATTTAATATACATCTCCTAAACTAACAAAAATTGCAAACTATGTACATATAGAATCGAAATGTTCACATTTACATTCCCCTATGCAATCATCAACCCCTGAGATTTACCCCAACAATCTAAACATAAGCAATAGTCACCGAGTTATCAGTAACACTAGTCTTAGTCAAGATAGCATTGGAGCTGGTCTCAATATCCAAGATCTCCGAGCCAGATGGGGTGACAGTTTTGGATGCGGTAGTAGCGACTGCGTCAGAGAAGACCACGCTTCCATAATTCGCGAGACCGATGGAGCTAGAATCAATGCTCAAGTCCTCCATTATCCATTCAGCACTGACACCGCAGAGGGTATTGGTAGAGGAGACAATCTTAGTGAAGGATGTGCCGGTAGATTTGTTCTCCATAACGATAGTTCCTTTGTTGAAGCTGGTGGTGGTGAGGTTTACGGATATAACCTGGGAGTTCGTTAATGAGAGTTTCGAGCAGGCATAGTGGTATGGAAGAAACTTACGTCTTCAGCTGTGAGAGTGCCCAAATCAATGACTTGAGTATCGGCAGGGTACCACTCATACCAAGCATAGTATGAGACTGCACCAGTAGACTTCTCAATCGTAGAATCAACACCTGCTTGCCAGAGGTTGTTGCAGTTGTATCCATCAATACCGATCCAGGTAGAAGCCGTGAAATCGGAAGCGGAGGTCTCTCCAGTGGTACCGACCGCTGGTTTAGGGATGGGAAAAGAAGCGGAAACACCGGTGTAAGCAGCACCAGTAAGAACGGCACCAGCCCAACTCACGTTGTAATCTTCATTAGAGCTAGCGGCGTTCTTATTACGTTGAGCAAGTCTTTGCTTAGCGTTGAGTTTTGCTGCTGGTGCAGCAACAGCCGAGCCTGCAAGAAGGGCGGCGACAGCGATTGAATACTTCATGATGATATTTGATGATGATATTGTTCAAGGTTGAGACGGGTAAAGATTGTGAAGAAATTTAAAACGCTTGCTTTTAAAAGAACGAAGAGCTTGAACGAACGAAGGTAACTTGCAAACCTGTGCAGATGGATGATGAACTACAAAACAACTTGACTGCTCCTAAGCCTTCATAAGGAAGAATTATAGGCTCCTTTCCCAGTAATATTATCCCATAATTGCCATTTAAAATATCACCGCCATTTTAAATCTGTATGTCCCTGTAATGCGGAGTACTGTAATTTCCATATATGTAGCTGGGAAACCCAAATTGATTCAAGGGTCTTCAATTGCCGATGAACGCGCGCTGTTTGACCGTGTCTCTGAGTGATATCAATGGATCCATCAATCCATTGAATGGTGTTCTTACCTGGTTCTCGACTAGATAGATATACACGACGTGGAATCCAAACTTTATTAAAGTTTGGAACAGAACTACTGCTCAGCCATAACTCGGCCATACTCAACCATGTTGTCACGACCACTTAGAAGTGGTGAAATATTTCGTATGTGCCATGAGACGATCATGGGAGTTTAAAGACGCCTTTCTAAAAAGTATATATTGGAATTGGAGGCAATGGGTTGTTGTTTCTCTAGTCATGATCATTGATCTGAATGGCTAAAGTGCGAAATTAAAGCTTACATAATACAGGGGGGTAAGCCAGGGGTTATTTCACCTCATCACGTGTAAACTGGTCTAGAGCGCACTTCGCTGAAACTTCAGCCTTGCGACAATTTTTACCTCAACAAGGCTGATTGTACTGTAATTTTATCCTCAAATTGGATGGTTATGATTTTGCAAATAAGATCATTTGGTATACTAGCAATCAAACGATACAAAGAATACAACTACGATATAGCGTGAATTATCGCCGGCTTCCAATATACAAGTCTCAGAATTCAACGAGCTGGCCCTCATTCCAATTCCGTTTCGCGCATCCGCATCCACATCTCGGAAGAAAAGAAGATGACATCCTCCTCAACCTCCTCTTCACCCTCTTCATCGCCACCCCCCGACCCTGACGACTACCTCTTTCAATCAAACTACCAATCCCATGCGCCACAAACTCAACCCTCACCAATCTCGACACCCCGCCCTCATTCCCGCCAAAGCACCTCTTCCTCCTCATCCTCCGACGAATCCCCCTCCCCACCCCCTCTCCAACACAATTTCTTCGCTCCCCCCTTCTACAATCGCCCCCCAACCCCCCTTCCCCCCTCGCCCTCCCTAACCAGTCTTCTCCGCCCCTCACGCCCCACCACCCCCGACTCCTCTGCCGACGAACTCGAACCACCCGTCCCACGCGCCTCCCCCAAGGTGCCCACCTACGAATACTACGGATTCGTGCTCTATCTCTTCTCCTCCCTCACCTTCCTCCTCTATCTCCTCTGGTCCTATCTCCCCTCCCCATTTTTACGCGCATTAGGAATCTACTACTACCCCAACCGATGGTGGTCACTAGCGCTACCCAGTTGGATCGTGATGCTACTCGTGTATATATATGTTGCGCTCGCGAGTTATAATACTGGGCATTTGACGCTGGGGATGAGTAGTGTGGAGACGATTATCGATGGTGCGGCGAATGTGTGTTTGGTTGATGGGAAAGGGATGGCGGGGGCGAGCAATGCGAGTCCGATCAGTAAAGCGAGTGCGACGAGTAAAGCAAATCCGAGCAAAGCGAGCCCGAGTAAAGTGAGTCCGAATAAAGCAAATCTAAGTAAACCAACCCAAGAAGAAAACACGCGTGAAAAAGAGAAAGAAAGAAAGCGGACAAAAGAGCGAGAACGAGAAAGAGAAAGAGAAAGTCAAAAAGGCACAGGGTACACAGGCAGTAGCGGAAAAGAAAGGGAACGAGAAAGAGGAGTAGGATATAGCGGAGGAGGAGGAAAAGAAGCAGAAGTAAGAGCGTGGACAAAAGTATGGAGTCGAGGGACGGATGCCGTTATGGATGTGCCGTTGGGAGGCGTGTGTGAGATTTTATATGGGGAAGGGAGAGAGGGGCGTGGGATGGATGATGGTGATTATGATGATTATTGAGTCGAGGGGAGGAAGAGCAAGAAGAGGATGAAGGATGTTGATACCCATATATGCTTCCATTGACGGGGTTAATATAATGATACATAATGATATATAATGATACATAATAAACAAGCTATGATAAACCGAAATGCACACCAAAACTCAGATATCGTCACATTCTCCTTCAAAACAGACTCAATGGTCTGCCTGCCTGATTAATTAATCATGATTTATTTCAGATCTAACATAGGAAGCACTCATAAAGTAAATAAATAGTAAGCGATACACTTCGATACATACAAACTAAGATAATATAATATAATAACACTCCCTCGAGAAAACGGGTATCATTCTTTCATTCCACTGTTCTAATCTTTACAGGAATGAGCTCTCTCTTCCCCCCC